ATTCCTGTATTTCACTGTTATTCATTATTAAATTGCATCACATTGGTTTTGTTAATGCTTCTGAAACATATTATAGGGCTGGATCCGGAGAGGGTCTGAACATCCTCAACTCTCTCATATCAATCAAAGCTGAGGGTGCTCAGCACCTCTCAGGATCAGGCCCACAGTGCTACTTCATCTCTTCCTCAAGGTACCCACCAATAATAATACCCAGTTTTGATAACTGTATCCCTTCTAGTTATTATGTATTCCCCGTATTTCTTGTAAAGTACATAAATACTTATGTTTGTTGTTATATACACATACATACACATACATATGTGTGTGTCTGTAGATCATTTCCATCCTTTCTCATTTTCAAATAGGAATCATATACCCACCATCCTAGCTTAAAATCTATTTAGCAAGCTCAGTTTTAAATCCATGTTTGTTAATTCTTCTGATGAAATGGAGATCTATTGCAGACCATTCCCCTCTCATCAAAGAAAGCCTTGTAGTGCTCCATAAAAATAAGCTCCTTCTCTCTGTTCCATCAGCTAGTACTCACTGGCTGTTCTCCAGAATCAGTCTTCTCCCTTCTTCACACTCACATGTGGCACAGGTAGACTCTCTGTGATGCTCAGCTGTATTGCTGCCATAATCAGTTCTATTCCCATGCCTCTAAAGTCATCCTTGATTCTACAGAACTATTAGCCCCACTTTTCTCATTTACTTCCATGTGGACTGCAATAAGTGGATATTCATTACCATTATTTAGGTTCTCTTTGGCCCGTCTTGTAGTATTCTTTTTTCTGTCTAAGGATCCAGAATATTAAAAAAAATGACTCTGTTGATGGCTTGGACCATATTTCCATAACAACCATTTGCCAGTCAAAATAACTTAACTCTTGCTTCTGGTGGCTCCCTTTCAATCATTACTCAGGAGATTGATTGTCCTCAGTCTCCTTTTAGTCTATTTATTCCCTAACTCATGAAGGCCAGAGTGTGTGTCACTGGTGACTAGGTTGAACAGCTCTGTCATAAATATAAAGGAAAGGGTAACCACCTTTCTGTATACAGAACTATAAAATCCCTCCTGGCCAGAGGCAAAACCCTTTCACCTGTAAAGGGTTAAGAAGCTAAGAGAACCTTGCTGGCAATTGACCAAAATGACCAATGAGGGGACAAGATACTTTCAAAGCTGGGGGGAAGAGACAAAGTGTCTGTCTGTTTGTGTGATGCTTTTGCCGGGACCAGGTCAGGAATGCTCTTCAGAACTTCTGTTAAGTTAGTAAGTAATCTAGCTAGAAATGCGTTTGATTTCCTTTTGTTAAAGGGCTGGTAAAATAGGTTGTGCTGAATGGAATGTATAGTCCTGTTTTTGTGTCTTTTTGTAACTTAAGATTTTGCCTAGAGGGATTCTCTATGTTTTGAATCCGATTACCCTGTAAGGTATTTACCATCCTGATTTTACGGAGGAGATTCCTACACTTTTTCTTTAATTAAAATTCTTCTTTTAAGATCCTGATTGCTTTTTCATTGTTCTTAAGATCCAAGGGTTTGGGTCTGTGTTCACCTATGCAAATTGGTGAGCATTTTTATCAAGCCTTCCCCAGGAAAGGGGGTGTAGGGCTTGGGGGGAAGACGTCTCCAAGTGGGCTCTTTCCCTGTTCTTTGTTTAACATGCTTGGTGGTAGCAGCATGGGTTCAAGGACAAGGCAAAGTTTGTACCTTGAGGAAGTTTTTAACCTAAGCTGGTAAGAATAAACTTAGGGGGTCTTTCATGCAGGTCCCCACATCTGTACACTAGTGTTCAGAGTCGGGAAGGAACCTTGACAAGCTCTATACTGTTTCCCTTCTCTTCTTCCTTGTTGTCTGTCTCCCTTCATACTTCACCATATCCATCCCATCCTTGGTCTCAAGTGGCTGGGTCTCTCATAACAGTCCCTCCCTTCGTGAACTGATTCAGCTTCTCCTACTGTTTCAGACCCCTCACTTTTTCTTCCAGAATGGAAGTCAGCTTGCACTTCAAGCATATGTATCCCACCTGGCATTCACACAGATAAAGTAACATTTTCTGCAATTGACTGTCCGTTTCTTTGGTGGTCATATCTCAGTTACTGCTAATACCACTTGCTCTCTTGCTGAATCAAGAATCTACTATAAATCTTCATTCTTAAACGCGCTTGAGGAATAACCAGTTTGAGGCTCTGTGGTTGTATCATTGCCACTAGGCTAATATGAAGCCTCTAGTAGTGGATTTGGGATAGGATTAATATAACAATTAATATTATTTACATTAAACTCCTTTATTCAGTTATACATAAAGCTTTATGGAAAAAGGAAATGAGAATCCTGTTGCATATTGCAAAATTGACTTCTTCTGCTCTGTATAGTAGAAGTAAGATTTGGGCATTCATACCTTGGGGCAGTATTTGGCAAAGCTTTCTCAGGAGCTAAGGGAAGCCACAGTGTTTACTGGAGACCTCTGGACTCTATCTTGGGTCATATGAGGGGCTTGTAAATGCAATTTATAACTTTATATTGTTCCACCTGCTGTTAAGAATTTAGTATTGCAAGGACAGCAACTCCCTATTGAAGAGTGGAAAACTAAATTGGTCAGTCTCTAAGGTGCCACAAGTACTCCTTTTGTTTTTGCGAATACAGACTAACACGGCTGCTACTCTGAAACCTACTCAATATTAGTTGGTTTTTATTGTTTTGTTTTATTTTAGGTGCTTTGTTGCTGTTGGCCCTTTACATCTTCTTGATTGGAAGTTGTAAGGTGGAAAAGCGGTTTAATGAGAAAGGAAATATGTATTTACAAATACATATATAAAGAAAAAAAAAGTGAGGCAGATTGAGTGGAGAGCACTGATTAACTAAAACCAGTAAAAGGTGGAACCAAGGGACTATAAATCTGGTCTATAGCCCCCTGAGCTCATTCCAGCCTGGAAATGTTCCAGTTTAAGAGCCCAGCTGGACTAAGACCTCTGATTCAAGTTAGACACTCACTCAACCTAAGTGAGGCTCTTGTGATGGTTATATCTCTGAATAAGAGGGGGTTTTGCCAGATGCCTTCGTGTCCTTGAAGGTGGATTTCGGTGGTTTCATATGATTGTTGCTATTAGAGTTCTGAAAGTTAAAAATAAAAGTTCCCTATTTTGATACTTGATGGACTCCTGATTTACACTCTGCTTTAATTGTTTATGCTGTATTTACTGATTCGATGATCCATGCTACTACAGTTGTATTATGACAACCTGCTCCTGTCATTTGCAATCACTTTCATATCTCAGAGCAAAGTTTTCAAATGTGTTTTCCTATAACTAGGCACCTATATTCATAAAGTGTAGGCACTTAAATGAGAGGTCTGATTTTCAGAGCTGGTGAGTGCTCATCTCTACATCCCCTCTCCTGGTTCTCTTCTCTGCTCCACACATTTTCCAAGACAGTCTTCCTCTTTCAATCAGACTCAATCCCAAATCCCCACAGCTCACAAAATTTGGCCCATAGTGGACTAAAGTATTATGTAATTTCTCTCAGCAGACCCAGCTTTGCTCCACTATATTCCTATATTCAGCGCAAGCATCCATGATGCCTCTCTTAGTTAGAGGGAAAGATTAACCTCTTCCTTGTTAACCTCTGCACATGTTACATTGGACATGGATTGGGAGAGAAATCAGGCCAAAATTTCAGACATGGGTGCCTATCGTTAGGCACGGTATATCCACAGCTATCTTAAGAAAGCTGAAGATGAAATGAGAAATGAAGCTCTGTATGTTTCTCTTCCCCTCTGTAATGTAGCTGAATTAAGCCACACTTGATAACCTTCTTTTGGACTCAGTTGAATAAGGTCATGCATTATGTAGTAGATTTTCAATGGAGCTCATCCTCCAGCAGCTCCCACTGAAACACCTACATATGTGGCCAAATTTTCAAAATTGTTCAGCACCCAGGAACTCTTTCAAAAACAATGACCTGTCCAGTGCACTGGACACTTCTGAAACACTGGCCATTTCATTTAGGGACCTAAAGTGGAGCTGAGCAACTGTTTTGAAAATCTGTGCTGCAACTCTGGCACTATTAAAATCAATGGGAAACCATTGACTTCCAGGGAGTAGAATTTCAAGCCTGGTCCAAATTATGGGTGTGCTGCACTTCTTTCAATGTATTGCTATCAACCTTAATTTTGGACTGGGGTTGAGCAAATCCCTGTTGACTGTACGTTTAGCGCTTATGGAGCGGGACAGATACTCTCCATTTGCTTTCTTGTTTTAAAACAGAAAGCTGTTTAAATTTCACCTCGACATTCAGATTCCTCCCCACATTATTACCCCATCTCCCCAGAATTTCCTAACAAAACCTGTTTAAAAGATAACAAACCATCTCTAGAAACCCCCAGCCCTACTTCTAGAAACACTCAGCTCAGTATCCAGCCCTCTGTTTCCATCATCCTCTTTTGCAAAATATATGCTTGTTATTTACTGTCTCTTGAGCACCCTACAAAATTGTCTTAAGCATTTAACTTGTTATGCTTAAAAATGCTACTCTATCATTTTTGGTACTGTTCTATGGTTATATGTTGATTATTTATATCTGGTGACTGATATTCTGTAATCGCTCTATGGATATGAGCTGTATACGCAAATATTCAGAGCAAAACCCAAGTGTTTCTTAATTATAATGGTAAAAAGACCCTAGCTAATGAAGGTAGTACACATTCCCATAGTTCTAGCATAACACATTGCCCAAAACAAAATGCTTAAGTTGTCCTAAGTAATACTTTACCTCAACTTCCAAATTGTGAGTTAATTCTATTTCCATCACCATAAACATAAGGGTTTTTTTATAAGGTTATTAAAGGCTACCTCCTACTTAAGAGCACAAACATGAACCTACATTCAATATGATGCAGTTGTAACATGGTATAAATAGATCTCTCATACAGGGAAAGTATTTAAATTTTTTTTAATACTTCACATTATTCTCTAAGCAAATAGGATGAACATGTCAAGTACCTTTTCAAGACCTTCTTCCTTGAGGCTGATCACATCTAAATCAAAATCTGTCCTTAAGCCATTGGTTTTGTTGAAAGTTATCCTGCCTGTGAGGCCTTCCCAGTGGGCCTATGGAAGAAGAAAAATAATTTCCATAAATAAGCCACACAAAAAAAGAACAAAAAAATAATTTCTACCAAAATGGGAATATTAATTATTCATTACATTTAAATAATTCACCTTGTGGCTGATCTAAAGATAAAATAATTTCATATTCATTTCTGAGATTCTCAGGGTTTTTCCTAATTAAACCAACCTTTCTTTAATCTCTGTACACAATTTCTTAACAGCCTTCCATTTTAGCCAATAAAAATTGGTCTTAGTGTGATGAAAGACTGTTTCCATTAACTCTTCTCAGACATTTATAATTACCATTTTTATTTTCCCCACTATATGTACTGGATTTGTTTAATTTCTGTCATTTTTATTTTCTGCAAATAAGGTCTTGATGCTGTGAGGTGCTGAGCCTCAAATCCCTTTGAGACAACAGGCATCGACAGGAGTGCTGGAACAATTTTTATAGTGGGATTGCAGAGAGCCATTTAAACAAACAACGTCAAGCCTGGGGGTGCGGCAGCACTCCCAGGACCCCTAGTTCCAGCACCTATGACATTGAGGGACTTGAGTCAGCACCTATCAGAAATGAACGCTTAATTTTAGAAGGCACAATATATTATTTTCTTATAATTTTTAAGTTGTAGAGCCTAATGATGCCATTAATGGGTTCTGCAAGCATGGTCATTGTTAATAACTGAAAATAAGAAGTATATCACTCTCCCAATGTATCTGTTATAGTGAAAGCATTCAAGAGGAGATGTCAGAAGAGCAATTTATGATCTTGCAAGTAGGCACCGTTAAAAATGGAAATTTATGACACTGCTGTATTTATCTTTACCACATTATTTCCTCTACTGACAATGGAAAATTCAGAGGTAGGCACTTACGAAACAACATATTTGAACAATGTACCATGCTGACCCTCAACGTCTTAAATTATGCATGATTGTATAAGGACTAAATTTTAAATAAAATCCAAGAGAAGTTACATTGAGGCAAAACATATAAATTTAAGACATTTATGGGGGAAAAAATCCAGCTATAGATTTTTACGTTACCAGAGCTGTACAGCATAAATAGCGAACAGATTAAAGTGGAAAAGGCTGAGGTAAAGGTTGCCTGGGAAGTGGTGGACCAAGGAATATAGGCTAGAATTTTGCTTTTAGAATTATTACATATTTGCTTCTGTGATCATTTTAGCATCACAGAAGTTCCAAGAAAGATCTATCAGCAAAACATTTCATTTTGTCTATTTGCAGTGCAGTACTTTTACCCTTTTGTGTTTTTTATATTTATAAATTGCTCCTGTATGAACAACCATATGAACAGTTTTTAAACATAAATGAGGCTTTGACTGCAAGTCTCCCCACACACAACAAGCAGAAAGAGTCCCGCCTGCTGGTAAAAAAAAATTAAAGTAGACTAAGGGTGGGGGGAAGATGGGGTAAGAAGAAACCAGAACATATTTTATTAATGACATACCTCTTTAATGAGACTCATAAAGCGGGTCCCAAAGCGCCATGGTTTGTGCCGATTACACTGTAATGAACTGACAGTCATCTGTGGGAACTGCTGGACAGCCACTGACACCACATGAACTGCATCATACATTAAAGCTGCGTCCGTCTGAAATTAGAAAGAAATCAATGCAGTGAACACAAAATTGAAAGTGCATGACAGAGAATAAAAAAAGAGAAAGAAAAAAATCTGTCCTGCTGTTTGTTATAATGCAGTGTGACAGGGTCAGGCCAGATGGCTACAGGAGAGTGATAGAAGGCAGATATATTAGCCCCAGGTTAAGTAGGTCCCTTTTCCCTAAGAAAGGTAACAGGGAAGGTTCCAGAACAATCTGGAACCTTCTGGAGACAATTAAGACTGACAGGCTGATTAAAACACCTTCAGCCAATCAAGAAGCTGCTAGAAGCAATTAAGGCAGGCTAATCAGGGCACCTGGGTTTAAAAAGGAGCTCACTTCAGTTTGTGGTGTGTGTGTGAGGAGCTGGGAGCAATAGGTGTTAGGAGCTTAGAGTGAGAATGCATACTGTTGGAGGACTGAGGAGCACAAGCATCATCAGACACCAGGAAGAAGGTCCTTTGGTGAGGATAAAGAAGGTGTTGGGAGGAGGCCATGGGGAAGTAGCCCAGAGAGTTGTAGCTGTTGCACAGCTGTTCCAGGAGGCACTCTAAACAGCTGCATACCACAGGGCCCTGGGTTGGAACCCGGAGTAGAGGGCGGGCCCGGGTTCCCCCCAAACCTCCCAACTCCTGGTCAGACACAGGAGGAGCTGACCTGGACTGTGGGTTCACGAAAATGGCCAAACTGAGGGCTGCTGTGAAGCTCCAAGGTGAGCAAATCCACCAATAAGTGCAAGACCCACCAAGGTAAAGGAGGAACTTTGTCACAGCAGGCAGAAAACCATATGACTGCTTATGCAGCACTGTCAAATAAAACATAGTTACCAAGTTCCTACATCAGAAATGTCAAGCTCTTCAGTTTTAGCTTTTCTTTTTAAATCCAGATATAAGGGCCCAATTACATACTATCTGGGATCACTGCAGAGCTCTGACAACTAAGATGACTTGTTTATAATATTAAAAAAGAAGTACCTTCAGGGGCTATATAAATCACACTATGCATGGATAAGTCAATGAGCAAGTTATTCTCTTGGGTCAGGAGAAAGATTACAAAGGCCTCAGCTAAGAAGGAACATACACAGGCAGTGAAAATAATATTTTTTCCATTTTAGAAGTACAGAGAAGATACAATCCCAAAGGTGCTCAGCATATTCACTAATCACTTTTTAGGAACTCAGTTTAATCCCTAGGGTTGATTTGACCAATTTTTCCCATAAATGAGAGGCAATTCAAATTTACATTAAAATTCATATTCATTTTAATTGTTATCTTGTGCCCCTCCAAATAAATAGTCTTTTTACGCTCAGTAAATGCTAACCAGCATCATGCTCACAGCATTGAGCTACTCACTCAACCGACACACTACACTGTGCAAAGAAACCAATATGTCTCTTTCATTTTGTTTGATAAATAGTGGCAAGTGTTGCCACCAAAACTGAGAAGAGGACCTCAGACTCAGCTGGTGGAAATGAACTCTGCCATCTGCTCACCATACCATAGAGAAAAAGGACCTATTTCCCCTTCTCATTCACATAATTAGTGAGCTGTGAAATGAGTTCTTTAATGGATAGGAAACCTGGAGATTATTGCACTTGTCACAATACAATACAATGTAATACAAAATGAGCTTATGCAAATGCATCTCAGGGCATTTTACAATATGCAAAAGTGCTATGCCTTTATAGACCATAAGCCACGTTTAGATTGAAATAGGTCTCCTGAGGTGACATTTCAAATTCAAATGGGAATAAATCCCAATTTTGAAATAGTCAGTACAATGGCTTCAGATGATTCAAGCAGCAACTAAGCTTGTACTGATACTACAACTCAGACAAAAAATACACAGATCCTAAATTGTTCACCACCTAATAAATCATTAAAATATTTTTAAGGCCAAATTGATATCTGAGAAGGAGCCAATATAGCTCCCAAAAGCTGGAGTAATATACAAAGTCTGCTGTGTATAAATTAAAATTCTGGTGACCGCATCTTGCTAAAGTTGGAGCTATTCAATATTTTCTCAAGGAAACCATAAAATAATGTACTACACATTAGTCTAGCTCAGATTTCAAATGTATGTGCTATGGTCTTCTTGCAAGAGGGTATTTTCACTGCCCAACTTCTAACTATATTCCCCGAACCAAAGACAGGAAAAGCTAATCACACATCTCCTCTAGCAATCAGTAGTCAGAATGCTTTCCATAGTGATCATCACCATTTTTAGAAAAAACAGGGATAAGAACAATTTTATTGAAAGAGAGAGACAGCCAACTGCAACAAATAGATTAAAGTAATCAACAACTAAGCCTCCTTCATATTAAATTTGTCCCACTCCATCCATGAACAAATATGTCTGGAGGAGGACAGTATGTAGCTCCTGGAAGCAGTGGCACATCTGCCCTCTGGCTCCTATGCGTAGGGGACTCCTCATGCTTCCCCCACCCCAAGCGCCGGCTCTGCAGTTCCCATTGGCTGGGCTTCCCAGCCAATGGGAGCTGCGGGGGTGGCACCTGTGGATGGGGCAGTGCACAGAGCCGCCTGATCGTGCCTCCGCATAGGAGCCAAAGGGGGAACATGACACTGCTTCCGGGAGTCGCCTGGGGTAAGTACTGCCTGGAGCTTGCACCCTTGACCCCCCTCCCATGCCCCAACCCCCTGCCCCAGCTCTGATCCCCCTCCTGCTCTCTGAACCCCTCACGCCCAGCCTGGAGCACACTCCTGCACCCCCAACCCCTCATCCCCAGCCCCACCCCAGAGCCCTCACCTCCCAGCTGGAGCCCTCACACCCTCTCGGACCGCAACCCCCTGAGCCAGCCCAGTGAAAATCAGCAAATTGGGGTGGGGACAGAAAGCAATAGAAGGAGGGGGGATGGAGTGAATGGGGGGTGGGGCCTTGGAGAATGGCTGGGGTAGGGGTGGGGAAAGGGAATTTGGTTTTCTGCGAGTAGACACCTTGCAACCCTAGAAGTAGGACAATGTCCATTTAAAAAATCATCATGTAATTTGATTATTTTTCTTTTGTCTGTTCTACAGAATGGTTTGAAAAGTTAGGTTAATGCTTTAGCATACATTCTTTGAACATGATGGTATATATGTGTCCAGCATGGTTTTGGTTGTTGTGGGTGGCTTTTGGGATTTTTTGTTTTTTTGTTGCTACTCATTATCTCACTACCTTGGTGTGTTTGGGTCTTCCCCCTTTCACCTTCACCTTCCTCACAATGGTGCCAAGAAAGGGAAAGGCAGGAAAGTCTCTGGATATGTCTACACTTGGAGCTGAAGGTGTGATTTTTATTTTTACCCACACAAGCTTGATCAAAGCTTGCACAAGTATATAGTTTCAAGCTGGGAATCACACCCCCAGCTCCAAGTGTCGATATATCCTCTATCATCCAGGTGCTGGGACTTGTCCTACCCACAGCCACTCTGTTTGGGTGATCGGGATGATGGAGGACAGTGTTATAGGCTCCTCTCCTGCAGTGGGGTGAGAGGTCACTGAGTGAGTTTAAGCAGCTTGCTGGGGACGGGAAGTCTTTGTCGGCTTCATGTTTCACCCTCACCCATTCCACCTTTACATAGGCGTACTGGGTCTCCTGTGATGCCAGGGGCTAGACTGATCACCAGTTTTGGAATCACAAAATCATAGAAGATTAGGGTTGGAAGAGATCTCAGAAGGTCATCTAGTCCAACCCCCTGCTCAAAGCAGGACCAACACCAACTAAATCATCCCAGCCAAGGCTTTGTCAAGCCAGGCCTTAAAAACCTCTAAGAATGGAGGTTCCACCACCTCCCTAGGTAACCCATTCCAGTGCTTCACCATCCTCCTAGTGAAACAGTGTTTCCTAATATTCAACCTAGACGTCCCGCACTGCAACTTGAGACCACTGCTCCTTGTTCTGTCATCTGCCACCACTGAACAGCTGAGCTCCATCCTCTTTGGAACCCGTCTTCAAGTAGTTGAAGGCTGCTATCAAATCCTCCCTCAATCTTCTCTTCTGCAGACTAAACAAGCACAGTTACCTCAGCCTCTCCTCATAAGTCATGTGCCCCAGCCCCTAATCATTTTTGTTGGCCTCCATTGGACTCTCTCCAAATTGTACACATCCTTTCTGTTGTGGGGGGCCCAAAACTGGACAGAATACTCCAGGTTTGGCCTTACCAATGCCAAATAGAGGGGAATCATCACTTCACTCAATCTGCTGGCAATGCTCCTACTAATGTAGCCCAATATGCCATTAGCCTTCTTAGCAACAAGGGCACACTGCTGACTCATATCCAGCTTCTCATCCAATCTAATCCCCAGGTCCTTTTCTGCAGAACTGCTGCTTAGCCAGTCGGTTCCCAGCCTGTAGCAGTGCATGGGATTCTTCCTCTCCAAGTGCAGGACTCTGCACTTGTCCTTGTTGAACCTCAGATTTCTTTTGGCCCAACCTCCAATTTGTCTAGGTTACTCTGGACCCCATCCCTACCCTCCAGCGTATCTACCTCTCCCACAGCTTAGTGTCTTCTGCAAATTTACTGAGGGTGCAATCCATCCCATCATCCAGATCATTAATGAAAAAGTTGAAAAAAACTGGCCCCAAGACTGACCCCTAGGGCATTCCACTGGATACCGGCTGCCAACTAGACATCGAGCCCAACAATCTAGCCAGATTTCTATCCATTTTATAGTCCATTCATCCGATCCATACATTTTTAAACTTTCTGGCAAGAATACTGTGGAACACAGTATCAAAAGCTTTGCTGAAGTCAAGATATATCACGATCACTGCTTTCCCCATATCCACAGAACCAGTTGTATCATAGAAGGCAATCAGGTTGGTCAGGCATGACTTGCCCTTGGTAAATCCATGTTGACTGTCCCTGATCACCTCTCTCTCCTCCAAGTGCTTCAAAATGGTTTCCTTGAGGACCTGCTCCATGATTTTTCCAGGGATCAAGGTAGGCTGATCAGTCTGTAGTTCCCCGGGTTCTCCTTCTTCCCTTTTTTAAAG